TGAGTATTTACCTTACTCCCAAATCATTACTCATATCTTCTGGCAAAAGATTCACTGTGGTCAATGTAAACCCACTTGATCACAGAGCAGACAGGCAACTGACAAGACTTAGCTCTAGGTTTATTACTGCGTAATCTATGGAAAGCTGAACAAAAATGTAGCCTAGATGGTGATTTTCTGTTATTATTCTCAGATAACTCAAAATCAGGCTCTACAATAAAGCTAATCCCAAATCTTGTAGCAGAAAGAAAAACTAAACATCTGCAGAGATTATTTATTTGCTGGGGGACATCCTTCAATATAGATCTGTAATGAATGCAATGCATTTTGAAACAAAAACCTCTTAAAGATTACTCACTAACATTTAAACTACATGGTAGCTGTTTCCCTAAAGACTTAAAGTTTCATGATGCATCTTAAGAAAATTACCAATAATTATTATATCTGCAAGATATGCCATATTGACCAAAGATACCTTTTAAAATGTGAGCCTGTCTAATTTTAAAAAAGATTCTCCATCTTTTAACAGCTGCAGTAATATGCATTGCTAGACAGAACAGTATTTCTGAGTAAGAATTTGCAATGATAATCAAACTAAAACAATATGCTGAGATACCTTATAAACACCTTACACAGCAAATCTTTACCCTCCTTTTAGTTAACAACAAAAAACAAAACTTCACCAACAAGTATATGAATAAGGATACTTCCTGGAGATCAGCTCCAGTTTTTATTTTAAAAAAAGAGCTAAAAGAAAGAAATATAATTACAACCAATAACGTTAAAAGGCTTATTAAATAAAGTTTGCAGTGCATGAACTGTTTTGAAAAATTACATTTTTGTAATTAATTTTTTGTCATTAGGTCAGATCCCAGTTGGTTGCAGCTGCATGCATGGATTGTGAAAAGTTGCCTATATTTAAGATAAGATAGGATCACTTTATTAGCCATATACAATTTCTTGCATTAGGAATTCATCTTTTTTGCATACCCCAGCTTGCTCTCCATGAGACACAGACACACAGACAGGGAGAGAAGCTGGGGGTCAGAGTGCAGGATCAGTTGGGGTTAGGGGCCTCGCTCAGGGGCCCAACGGAGTAGGATTCCTCGGCCGGCCGCGGGATCTGAACCGGCAACCTCCCAGCCACAGGCACAGATCCTGAGCCACAGTGCTACTGCTCCGCCCCATAGAGCTATAGATTTGCTATTTCTGCATTGTAAGGTGAGCAAAGTACTGTCATAGGCCTGTTACTACCATTTTCTATTAATAAAAGCCATTCTGATTTGACAGCAGCCTTGTGTAGAGATCGAGAGATCGTCCGCATTCTTATACAGAGCTTATACAATCTGAACATGTCAGCTGAAATGTGAGAAGAAGTGTCCTGTACTCATTTAAAAAAAGCTGAGAAATAACATCAAAACATACAATTCTAGTTGAAGATGTGAATTTCAAACCACGCAGAAATAATACCTAAAGATACTTGCCCACCACAAATATATAAAGCATGGCAGATTGGGCTTTTGTTAAAGGAGATGCATCCATACAGGATAAAGAATACATGCTCATGGAAATTTATGTCAAGCTCACAAATGACAAAACGTCCAGTCTGATCGGACAGTATTCATAGGAATAGTCTGGCTGAGAGTTAGTAGTTAAGTGATCCAAGGGTCTCATCCAGCCATTTTGTGAAGAATTCAAAGCTTCTTCCACAATGCCAGGTATCTTGTTCCATTCCCCCACAACCCTTTAGGTAAAGACGTGCCGACTGTTCTTGTTTCGAAACGCTTTTCCACATAGTTTTCTACAGGAAAGAAAATTCCTTTTACTCCTAATCATAATGAATCAACAGTTCTCCTCAGAACTGGCACAAGTCAAATGAGAAAACAATCACTCCCACCTTTAAAAAGAGCCTTTTCATTTATCTCATTCCTATTCATAAAGAATTCAGTGTGGGATTTAACGTAACGGATACTGCACTAGATTCTAGCCCTAGTGTTTTGAAAAAAAATTAATCCCAGGTTCTTGATAAATCGGCACCTACAGATTCTATTGATGCCAATTATTTTAAAATAATTCCGCACAGAAATTCAAAACAATTTGTGCCTTTGATATACTGGTTATTAGTATTTGACCCAAATAAGACAAATTACAGTGATCACATCAGAAAACAGAACTATTCCACTTCCAAAGCAGTTGTTCCCTACGGAAAACCCATACGATAAGCCTACAGGTCTTCATTCAGCGCTAAAAGGAATGCTGCATGCACATACAGGCTGAAGGAACCGAATGTCTTCGGTCATAGTCAGGGAAGATTACAAAAAGACTCCACATAAGTAATCTACATCATGGAAGGTATTGTCAAAGTGAACACGAATTGCTTTGTGCTCACAGAAGCACAGGAACAAACCTGGAAGAGTATTTATAACTGGCAGCAGGAGAATGGCAGAGATGTGTAAGGACCAACCAAACCACGCTGCGGAGGGAGAACACCCTAGAGAAGTAACAGCTGGATGGAAGCCGTTGTCAAGCGGACGAGCGCAACGCTCTGGACGGACTCTTCTCATCTGTGTTTTTATTACATTAGTTATAAGCCTTTCTTCACCCATTCTCTTCAAGAGAATCACCTGTTAAGTATGCTGGCGCTGAGGTTTCTGCACACTCTCTTGGGACAGCAATACTGTACATTTTAGGCAAATGACTCTCAAACGACAGTGATAGGCACTGAATTATTGGAAACACTTGCCCTCCAATTTAGAATTATAAGTAGCCTAGCTGTCCTATCAAGATTTGGCTAGCATTTTACTTATGGGAAGATAATTCGATGACAGACTGCATGACGTAACCATGGTGCATGAATGATGTATGAAAACAGGCAATTTTGAAAAATAAAATCATGTCACTGACAGAGAGTTAAAATCTTTAGAATCTGCACTGAAATATGCTCATTCATTAACCAATTACTCCTGGCTTTTAAAGGAACACAAAATAATTACTAATGATGATGTAGGACATTTGTACTAAAGATAGCATTGATAAGGTTAAATAAGTGTCGCTATTATATGCAGCTTTTTTATCATATTTAAATCAACCCTATACTATACTGTAGATCATGTTTTATCATAACTGACCACTGAATTAAAGAGATATGATTACACCTTTACTCTCACGCTGGGCCTATCAGCGAATTATACTGTCCTAGAAATGCCTAATGACTGATGTTCCCAGTCCCCAGCTGTGACCCTGCAGACACACTCATGCGCTAGCATTCTAATCACCTGTCAAGTAAACCCAGTGTTGCTGTGCATTAAAATCTGTGTTTGTGCATACTGAACATTCAGGTACATTCACAAAATTCTCACTTTCCTTCAGGAAGACAGGAAAATCGTGCGATTCTGTTCACTGTCACTTACACACTTCTTAATTTTGTGATTAACAAACAGGGAAATTAATTTCATTCAGTGTTCACTGCCTGGCAGAGAACGGGCTATCTATGTGATTCTGTACCTTGCTTGTGAAAATCACCCCACCTCTCCTTCTCAAGAGAGGAAGAGAAACATCCACACAATTTTGAGTCACTGGGTGGTTATTTAGAAAAATTCTTCTAGTCTGCCCAAACTTAAATGGGCAAAGACTTGTGCTGGAAAGAGATTTTGAATATTATTAACACGGTAGAAAGAAACATCCAGCCCAAACTATTAAATTCTGAAATTCTTAAAATTGGTTCCTTTGCTTTGCTTCAAAAGCACACGAATTAAAGTGGGGGGGTAAAATGAATGAAGAAAAATGAACCTCATCTTCCAGCTTTTTTAAGACAACAAATTAACAACAGCTTCTCATTAAGTAGCCAAACTAGGACTAAGGCTCAGTGGTAGAGCATTTCATTTTATACTTTGCCAGTTATTAAAACACAAATGACAAAATTATGCTTTTGCTGTATAGCCAGCATACCTAACTAAACATAAAGGATGAAACAAATTCAAGATGTCTCTGTCCTTGCTGTTTATGTATGTTTTGAGGAAAAAAACCTAGAAACAAGTCCAGTGATTTCTAGAATATTCATATTTGTTACTTTTTACTCAGCTTGCTTTATCGCAGAAGTTAAACGGCCACTGAATTGTAATGGAAACTCGTAAACAGCTAAGGTTTATATGTACTTTTCAAACACGCCGACATGCCCATGCTGCAAAGCGGTTCATGTGAGGTCGTGAGTGGTTAAATTCAGCCACAACAGCCAAAATACCCCCCTTATCACACGGACGGGGCTGCTGGTTCAAAATTAGTTTTAAACAAATTAAAGTGACAACTGGACCCTCATCCCTGGCGGTGTGTCTTTTTACAGAAACAAATAACCGCCTCTCCTCAGCCGGCTGCGCTTGGGCTTCAGCGTGCACGACTCCAAGCGACCTGCCACACGGGGCGTGATGAATCGGGGTTACCGGCAAATAAAATCCCCGGTCCCCTGGCCTGCATGCAGCGTAAGATAGATGTATATATAGCCGGTTCCTTGACTAAATAAATTCCTAAATACCATAACCCACGGCTGAGGAAAACCTAAGGGAGGGATAACTGCAGCCACGGCGACATCGAAACAGCGAAAGCAGACGAAAACATTACTCCACGACTCCCAATAATTAACTCCTATTTTATTCATCTCCTTACACAACTCGCAGCAGGCTGCCCGCAGTTCTGCATATACAACTACAATAAGTTGAATAAACATGAGTTAGAGGACAGGCTAGAGGGGGGGAGGAGGAAAGGGGGAAAAAAAGTTTTAGCTAAGCGCTTCGAAATCCCAGCGAGCTTAGGACCATGTGCCCCCATTGCAAACAAGCCATTATTTTCTTTCTTTCTGCTTAACACAATGAAGTCCCTAAAAAAAACACCCACACGAAAACAAAAGAGCCGTGTAAACAATGAAGGTTTGTGTCTCCACCCCCCCTCCCTCTTCCCCGGCCGGACCACGCCGCTCCGACATGGCCGCGTCTGGAGAGGGGACTCACCTCTTCCTGGAGCTGCTGTCTCGTCAGCGGGGTGGACACCCCGTGGCGTCGGTGCGTGATGACATCGGCGGGCCGGGGAGGGGAGGGAGAGCGCCGGGGCTGGGCCGGGCTGGGGCCGGGCCGGGGCTGCTGACCTGACGTGAACAAAGGGGTCTGGCATCCGCCTGGCGAGCACCAGGCAGGCTGCTCGGTGCTGGCTCTCACCGGGGAGGTGGGAATCCGGGGAGTGCTTTCTCCTTGAGCACCGTGATGCGCCCCACCAGCTGCTGCACCTCTCCTGCTCTCTTTCTGTGTATTTCAGCATGGGGATGGACCATTAGCGCTGCTTGTCGTATCTTAATGTTTGTCGGAGTTTTACTTGTTCTGTGAATTGCTCTTGCAGCTGGTGTGGGAGCAATGCTCGATATCAACACAGACACACACGTAGCTTTCATATAGTCTGCTGTCTGTCTATATACATATATATGTCTGTGTGTGTTTAAGAGAATTTGTTATTTTTTTAAATAGCTTTTTTTTTTTTCCCGGAGGCTGGGGTGGGATAGGCGCTGTTATTGTGTGTGAACCAGGGGAACCGTGTGACAGGGGCTGAAGACGAGACACATTGTCGGTGCGCAGACCTGACCTACAAACCGAAGCATTCTTGTCTTATCTGCCCCGCACCTTACCAGAGCACGGAGGACTGCATCAAATTAGAACAAAATAATAAAAGCAAGTTGGGAGGGGGGGAGGAGGGCTTAGTTGTCCCCTTCCCACACAGCCCCCTACCCCCTTCGATTAAGGCAGTATTGTTGTCTTTGTGCCCTTAGCTGCTGGCCTGCACCTGCTGTATTCAGCGACACGGGCTCCTCCGTGGAAGTGCTGGCATGCCGACCCCCCCAGTCCGCTTTTGCCCCTGAAATACACATTTTGCCCACTGGCTTTTGCTTCCTTTGAGCCTATTGGCGCATTTTTGCACTTTGTTTTTTGTTGATAATGCTGCTGATGCAGCTCGTAGCTAAATGTCACATGTAGATTTCCGTCCGATGGTGGATCTTCAGAGCTTGGCTTTTTCAGTCCCCTGTCCACTCAAGTGCTGTCCCTGACTGCCTTAATTCCTTAATGGCAGATTACACCGTAAACTTTAACCTGGTTTGTTAGGGCTTTTTAATGCCCTGCAGAGAAGATGGTGCTAGCACATTTACTAAGGTCATAGGATGATGTGGTTCTCTTGATGAGGAAATCAGAAACAGTGCCCAGCCAGTTGGCCATCCACAGCTGAGCGCAATTTGGCTAAAGCCAACAACTGCAAACATCAAAGAAAGGGATTATAATTAGAAAATTGTTGAAAACAAAGACTAATGTAACATATTTTAAGGATTCTGGCACTGACTTTTTTGAGTATTGCATCCACAATCAGGAGGTAACCGTTCAGCTTGATGTGTTGAAACATTAGAAACAAATGCAAATTACATAAGCCTGCAAACACATACAATTAATGCATTAAAGGGTTTACTTTAAACATTTATGTTATAAAATAAGAACCACATTTGAGTGACTGTTTCTTTCCATTAGAAAACCAAAGATCATGCAGCAGATTACCTATTATGTACACACAATACTTAATGTTTGTCTTATTCCTAACAGAATTTCAAGCAGTTTCAATTTTAAATGCACACTCCTGACCACCAGTTTTTTGATGTTGATGTTTTGTTTTTCTGCTCTGGTTTGGAAGATGTAGTGAATGACTAAAACAACCCATAATTTTGTCTTACTCAAAAATAAATTATACTCTTTGAATAAATAATACTTTGGGCAGGTATTGTTTACATGTGAGGTTTGTTTGCCAGTGTCGGGAGGAAAAAAAAACACTTAAATAATCCCTCGTACACAGTGTTCTGTAGGCTGCAATTGCACTGAAAATGCAATCCCCAAAATGTAAAAAAAGTAACTTTTTCATTGGAACAAATCTGTCGTTCTGATTTTTCGGGAGTCCAAAAGCACCTTTCCTTTCTGGGGAACATGAGAGGCTGCAGTGAGGAGACACTTCTGGTGCAGTCGGCCTGTTTTTTATCACACCGTTGGCACACAAGAATGCCACCTGCTCTGACTCTCTTTCTGTCACGGCCAGACTGAACAGCTGGCTTCTCTTCTAACACTCTGATTGGCTAATCCCTACTGGTCACTTGTGCTTTTCCTCCCTGTCTGTCATTGAACTTTCTCTCAATCAGTGCCAGGTTAGCGCTTCTTTCACAGGAATCGCCCTTCATGTGCCCCAAGAATAATATGAGGAACATATGGGGATATGTAAATAATTTAACGGGGTCAAAAGTCTGCTCTTGCTCTTACCCCACTCCCCACCCCCCTCTGAAAAGCAGGCCTACTGTGGCGAACGGGTAGACATCTTTCATGAGGTCTCTTCATGATATTGTAACATGGTACCTGAACATGACATGGTTATTTAATTTTAAAAAATCGAGTTCCATGTTTCACAAATACAATGAGAATTCTCTAAACACATCGTATTGGCATGCAGGCTTTAAAGTACTTTTGACTAATTGTCAGCAGTACTGTTTTTTGTACTTCATTCTTGGATGCACTTAAAGGTGCACATAAAAATTATATGAAAATAGATCGTATTTGTATTATATTAGTATAATATTTTCTATAAGTAAAATAAGTTTCTATAAGTAAAATATTAGTATTGATTTTATTAGAAAATAATTACTGTAACACAATACTATTTTCACTGTATTGCTGAACAAATAACTATTGAGAGATAAGGGCACTGTACACTGCACCCAATGCTGAAGTTGTTTTTTTTATAAATCACAATCTTCCCTTTGTTAAGCGAGGAAAATTAGTTTCTTCCCTGTTATTTTGTTTTTAGTGTTATTAAAATGGAAATTGCAGTCCTCGTATACAAAGATATGTAGTTTTTCATGAAAAACAACTTTCAGCTCGTTATGAATTCGAACACAGCTGCTCAAGCCAGTGTTTCACTGTTCTGGACATCATACATGTTTACTGGGGGGGCAGAAGGCCTTTCTTCTCCATGGCCACAGCCTCAGTCGTCTCTTTTCAACACACTGTGTGCACTGACTACAAAGTCAATTTTCACCATGCCTGTGATATTTTGTTATCGTGATGGCTTGGATTATTTTCCGCATTTTTAACAGGCTAGTCTTCAGTTGGAGATGAACCCAAATGTACTGTATCTTTTACTGTTTTTGTCATATTTCTTTATAAAATAATCTGAACGTGCCTTCAGATTTTGTGAAGTGTATCACTACTACATTCACTGACAGCCTTACATCAGTGAAGCAGGTATGTTTAGCTTCCGGCAGTGGTCTCAAGCTTATGTTGACATAAATCCTTTTACAGTACTTTTAAATGGGAAGACAAAATTCTGACATGTTTTATTTTGACACTGGCGAGAACCTCCAATTTAATTGAAGAAATTGTGGACAGGAGACCAAACGCAAAAGGCAGAAGAGAATTATCCCATACTCTATTAGTTCTAAGCACACTACCATCATGGATATGGCTTGAAAATTACATTTTAAAAAATTCACTGTGTTGCTGTGGACTTTCCTAACGTTCTGTGGAAAAAGCACTGATCAAAGTGTTATGACACACTTTAACAACGGAGAGCAAGGATGTCTGGGCTGGAGGCTGAACCCAGATCACCAGTACCACAGGCAAGCTCATTAGCACATTGTCAAAAGGTACAGACCGCCTGGCAAGACAGTAATCAGGTGTTACATACATCCAGCTCCCCTGGCACTGTACCAGAGGTAGGCACATTACAATTTCACCTGCGATTATGCCTTCAGATATTAAATGAGAGAAAATCTCTATTGGCTTTCAGAAACTTTCAGGAAACATGCTAAATGAATATTAGAAATCCCTTCTTTACTGAAAAACAGTGACATTATTAAATCTTCCAAAAAATAAAACATAGGCTTGTAAGTACATATATACTCTCCTCCATTAGAAAAACAATGCATTTAGTCAGTGATAAGAAATAACCCATAAATTACTTAGGAATTACTGTAGCAATACCAAAATGTGCCCAATTCTGTCTGTCCTCATTTGTATAGTCCTTTATAAGGAAGGATCCCAATGACAAACATGCTTAACTTAAAATAAAACCTAATTAGAATCATTTTTTTACTTTAATTATAAAAATAGGACATGATAACATCGTGTATTACATATTTACTTATTAACAGCGCTCATTGTGCTGCAGGCTTTTCACATCTTTCAGCACGCAGACTGGCAAGGTGTTTGAGAAGGCAAGGCGTCAGTCTTTAGTGCGTCTACTCAGTAATGTGGTGCTGGTCCTGTCCATCAGGGGTTGGTGACTGCAGCAGACCCAGGCGAGCTGCTGCAGTTCATTATAAACAGACTTTCTTGGCTCTAGCACAGGTGAGCTGGACTGCTTTGTATGGTTTTGTCAGCTTGGTTCCTGCAGTCTCTGGTGTTGACAAACCAGCAACCCTTATCTTGGGTCCCGTGTGAAGAACCCTCTTCTTTCTCTTGTGCTCTCCTCTCACCCTCGGGAGATCACATGGGTGTGTATGTTCTTTGCTCTTGTATGCTACTTGCTCGTTCACCTCCTGGTGGGACAAGCAACCTGTGAAAATGAGTACTGTCCCATCACTGACCTCCACCCAGCTCCGGCTCAGAATGTACCCATTCAGCTCCTGCAGTTCAGCCACTCTGCCATAAAACAAGCTGACAGTAAACATAATATTTAAGTAGCAAGAGGAAGAGAGCAGCATGAAGATTGGCTTATTCTGAAACCGTTTTACAGGGCTCCTGCAAGAGTAGCTCATTTCCATGTTGTGGGGTTTGCAGCCGGTGACTGACCAAGCTGTGGCAAAGTTGCAGTTCCCTCTGTCCATGTGGTGTGGAGTGTGAAGTTAATTTCTGATGTTGCCCATGCTGTGTGATTAAGAGCATTGGAGCTCTAGGGGATATATGGACAATACTCAACCAAGCCCTGTGAAGGCATCCCAGTGCTTCATACAGCTATCATGCCAGGAATGAGCTGCAGTCCTATGTACTGGAGATGCTGATCTCATCCACACATGTAAAGACATTGTTGCCTCTGATGAGGCCAAGAGCAAAACACTCCTAACCCCTGTCTTACTTCATTGTTGAATGTTATGGGTCTGAAAGCTCATTCCAGACTTAGATCTAGGAATTTGGCTATTTGTCCCTGTTCAGCGCCTGAAAACTGTATATTTATTTTAATATTGTGAAGTGTAAAAATAATATCATTTTCTTGTATAACAATATAATGTCAATAATATATATTTTTTCCCATTTCCTTTTACAAGATAAATATGATTTAAATAACATTTGAATTAATCTGAAAGTCATTTATGGCCTCTTCTTTTATCTGCAAAAAGTAAGAAATTATTACGGTAAGGTTTCAGATGGCTTTAGGATCAATATAAAAATTGAAATATGCAAAGCACGTTCCCAATTTGGCATCGCACAACCTTTTCCCTTTCATCTTAGCCTTTTGATGTTATATTTAATCTGCATGTGTAATGTGAACATTTAATGGCTATAAGCATCTAGAAATATAAAGTTGGCTAGTCTTAAATAGTGTGTGTACTTTACCCTTAAAAGGTCCTTGTTTAAGACCAATGTGTCTTATCTCGGCCCTTTGGTATTTCTGTATAGTTTAACTCATTCTAGAATGTCCTAATATTCGTGCCTATACTGATTCGTTTCAGAATCTAACTTATTTAGGGATGTAATACATTAAAGAACACTTTTTAAAGCAAACGGAGGATATATGCTATCTAAAAAAACAAGATATCTTAAATGTTCACAAATACAGCGCAACAAAATAAAACACATTTCACATTACCCTCTATTGAAGTGTAAAACACTGACTCTACATATGATCATTGTACAAGATATGATATGTACAATAAGAATGTAATAGTCTTAAAAGTTTCTTTGACAATTATCATCAATATTAATATTGTCAGTCAGAATTTAGACATTTTCTTGTGACACCTTTATTATTTGTATCTGCATTTTTGAAATATGAAAAATGGTCTCCTGTCTTTTGGAACTGTTTTCCAATGTGCAGTCATCACGTAATTGAACGTTTTATGTGTAAATGTTTTGTTAGATGTTAATTTCTTACATTTCTTTCCTTTTTTGCTGGACAAAAGAGGTTGTAAATGTTTCACCATTACATGTCTAGAATGGCACGCAAGCTTTAACAGAGGCAACGATTTTATGACACAATCAAAGGCAGCTATGTTAAATACAATATATTATGGCAACATATGAAAAGCATTCATATTTGTGTCTTTCAGCAAATGAATGAAAAGCAGAAGCCCATGAGGCCAAGGAAATCCGAGCTTACAATGAAGCAGAAAGTCGACAGGTGGAATGTTTTATAAAAACCTAATACAGGAGAATTCTAGGAAATTGCTGACTGCAAAATACAGCACACATTCCATCTGTAAGTGAAAGAGGATAGGAATTAAATTTCTTGTCTCAGGCTTTCAGGAACTATTAATTCTAGGTGAATTACTTTCACCTTTGAATGTTTTCTCAGTCATTTACTCTGGAAATCATCTTCCTTTTTGGTCAGCAATAATTTATTTTGAAGCCAATTGTCTCTCTTCAATAAAAGTATCTTAGCAATCTGGATAAGATATATCTATGTCCTAGTTTTTAACCACACTTCAGAATCAATATACCCATACTTGAAGCGTTTTTTTTCCATTGCATTTGGAGTATTTGTGTATGAGAAGTACAAACAACTTCAAAATTTAAAATGCCCATTTATATGCATTTCTTTGAAAATGTGGAGTACACTGGTACCTGGATAAAGAAGTAATGTAATCTACCATTTTTATTTTTTTATTTTTTTTCCTAAGCATCCCTAAGGACTCTGTCAGTGAAGTGGACAATGTCACGAGACACAAATGGAGATCTGGATCATTAATTGACATATGTTCATATGTATTTGCTCAGTGTGTGTACAGAAATTCAATCTGCATAACAAGTGTGGGAATCTGAATAATGTTTCTCAGGAAAAATTGTGGAGGCAAGAAAAGTCTTTCACCTGTTTGCGTCAGTCAGATATATCAGGAATTTTAGACCTTTTTTTTAATTTGGCTACTTTTATTCGAGCATGGTCATTTCCAAGAGAAATTACAAATTAAAAATTCAATAATACTTTTACAAAGACATTTCAGGAAAGATTTTTTCTGTCATGGTATCATACATGTATTTTAACAGTCCCTCTTCATTTTTTAGCTAAAAAACAAGATGAAGAAAGTGGAATTTTTTTTTCAGTCGAAAATACAGTGTTTTCACAAGATCGTATCAAAAGTTCCCAAATTTGGAATTTCCAGTAATCGGAAAGTAAAAGAAACAAAAATAAAATAAAATAATAAAATTGAAAATTCGCATTTCACAATTAATGTTTCAAAACACAATAAATGCTCTCTTTACGTAAAATTTGCCCCAATGATCAACGCCATGTTCCTTTTTACTAAAATATATCTATATATTGAAGAACTATAATACTGTACACTACAGTATGAAATAAATAAAATTAGGAAATATAAAATGAGCCACATAAATAAAATGTTATTTAACCTAAAAATAAAATGAATGCAATTTTTGTTGTTGCAAAAAAAGGTTTGGTGTAATACTGACAAAAGTTAATGAAAAACAAATAATAAAAAGTACAGAAAATTGCACAAACATATGTAAACTAAGGAACTGCTGCCTATTTTACTAATACTGACATGGGTGCTTCAAAGAACAAGGTGAACTATTTCTTAATACTGAAGCTGGTGCATGGGTAACAAATGTTACCTTCCTTTACACTATACAAGGATGGCACTTGCAGAAACACACAGATTAAAAGGTTTGCATATAAGGCTTTTTCTTATAAAAAAACCACCTTACAAAGGCTTTCTCCTTCATCTCTTACACTCTCTCTTCCTTCTTCTAGTCACCACACATTTTCCTTCATCTCCAGGTCGCTTTAAGACTTCGAGATCTTAAAATCACACAGGTATCAGTTAAGCTCCTTCACATAAAGAAAGTCTTAGGCCTAAAACTGTGTGGTTAGATGGCCTGACAACAGGGCAAAACTATAGACAACACATTAAGTGATAGATAATTAATAATACTGATGAACTGTAGTGCGGGCACTACTGCTTTTTAACACTGTATAAATATACATAGGCAATACTTTTTTATTATTTTTGTAGTGATTATATAAGCGGAGTGCAATTTGTACAAGTTACTAGTTTGTGCTATAAATACTATGAAACACAGGGTTTTTAGGATGTTAGCACCACACATTTTTTAGGCCTTAATACTGTACAATTTTTTAAAATGTTTTTTTTTCTTTAATTATTTTTTTT